ACGTTTGGCTTCTGCTGAAGAGTACGGTTCATCGAAAAGAACCCTCAAATGCGAGACCGTAATCTTTGCCATCTCGTTAAAGTCCTTTTACGATACTCCTCGAAACCGAAAACCCGAGCGATTTCTTCGTCGCTGAGCTTTTCATCCTCGATGTTGAGCTTATTGAGGATTGTCAGGGTGACTTGCGCATCTTAATATGCTATATATATGGCAATAACTCGGCTCTATCTAGAGACAGTCATCTTAATTAAGAGATTATTAAATTATTCCATGATATAATTACTTATAAATTAATTACGTCAAATTGTTTCTATATTAAACATATTACATAAAATGTATAAAAGCTTATAATAATAAAAACATTTTAATAATTAAATGTATGATGAACACTTTATTAAGAGTTTTTATATAGAGGTTTGAATTTTCCTGCGGTTTAACATTTGATCAAGTATCAACAAAGTGATGATGTTTCTTACCACTAATTTTTTCAAATTCTTTTCAATTTATGCGTGAAAGAAAATATAGGTAATCTTATTTTAAAATACAGATCAGCAATGTTTTCTTTATTTTTTAATTTTTTGCTTAATCCTTTTAGAAAACTGGTGCTAATTAAATTATTATTTTAATAAAATAAAGAAAAAATTATATTTACATTAAAATTAATCTATTGTTGATACGACAGATTGTAAGCATGATTACAGTTGCTTTGAATAATTGACAGAATATTGACACAAAATTATTGAATTTGATATCTTTAATTATATAAATGATTTAATTGAATTAATACTGTATGTGTATCTTATTTTCCTCATATTATTTCTCATGGCATATATAATTTTTAATTGATAGTTAAATGACATTATGCAATTTATTTGGAGCGAAATGATTGAATTAACCTGATCCAACGTAATCCCAAAATTTCAGTTTCTTTTTAAAGAATGGATTGTATATGTCAGCGAGATAATACAGTTTCCCTGTGCGATAATAATTGAGCACTTGCGCAAAAAAATATGAATGCCTGTCATAAAAGTATAAGTATTCATCCAACCGGATCGTAATTCGTTAACATCGATCTGTTAACCGTGACAATCTGCGTGACAAGTTGCTGCGATTTTCTTCAACGTCACTTTATACGTTTCGTGTCGAACACCACTCACATTTAATGTCACTCCATCGTTCCATTTTCCGTCTTTTATTTTTTTTTATCCTGTATAACGTCTCCTCGTAGAATATGTAAAAAGGATATCCGTTTGAAGAAGAAACTTGCAAAATTGCAAGGAGCAGCTAAATAAAGCGTAGCATTTGACGTCGATCTTTTTTCTGCTAATTAATAAGTAATTACTGTTAAACACTATTTGATAAATTTTATTTTTACTCACTTTATCCGTGCGCATTTTCGCAAAACTCTTCAATAATTTAAAGAGGAAATATCGAAAGGCAAAATAATATTTTACAGTTACACGCTTTATTTCAGCGAGGCTCATTCAACGACTATTCGACAGTGCATGAAATCATCAAGTTCGATAAAAAGAAATGAATTGCGTCGCATACGTGTTTTCTTGTTTACAAATTTACGCGTGTTTATTTGTATAGCTCGCCACACACTCAAATCCATTTATCGAGCTAGAAATGCAGAGTCACGTAATAGATAGAATTTGCCTCTTTGATATCCCGTTAAAGTGACAAAAAACAGTGCGCAGACATCAAACAGTTTACAGATCTCTTTTATTTTATATGCAATGGAAATTTATTTTATAAGTGTGCACGAGAACAATATCTGCAATATAATATTTGCTATGGAACGATGTTGACTATTAGATATCCATAGAATTACAGAATTACAGTTTGATAAAGCATTTATTTTACGGTAGAAATGTTGACGAATATTTACATTATCTCTCTTTTCGTATGTATTTAAAATTTGTTATGGATGTCCATGCACGTCAATTTTAATATACATACATATACATATAAAGTATATAAAATATAAAAATAGAAATGCAGGATACTAAATGCTTTAAAAACGTTTCGAACTTTCAGAAATTTCTCCAAATGTCATTGTATTATTATTCAAGAATGTAATATAATGTCAATTTAATAAATAAATAATAATATAAAAACGAGATTATAAGAGTCAAGTTATTTTGGCAAAAAATCAAGCAATTATTTTTGCGAAAAATTAAACAATATAGTGTAGTCCATAAATTAAAATACATAATTATATTCTTCAGAAACGAATGTTTCGGCTCCGCTTTAAGTCATTTTCAGCGTAAAGTAAAATATAATAATGGAATATCGATTTTTTCTTATCCTACGTATACAGCTCCGTGCAAGCGATTTCCTTCTAATTGCCTTATTCAAAAGTTCCAACTTAGGAAAGTTATTGGCAACAGGCCACAAGCATAAGAAGAAGCATTAGAATACAAATTGCACATTGCGTCTTTAATTAATAAAAAATGGTCCTTAGTGTAAAAATTAAGTTATAAAGTCCGTAAACATTCTTATAATTGATATAAAATGAAAAGTTATATAGTCAAACTGTTGATATAGATTCTGGAAAGTAAAAAATTTGTCAACTTTGTAATGTTTTCAAAATACATTTTTAAAAGACCTTCCAATATATTACAGATAATGATGTCATTTATTCAAAGATACCAGAAGTACCCGTGAAAGCCTCAAAAGCACATTACATCATTTATTATTAAATAATTCAAAAAAGATATTTGTTCTCCATTACCAAAGAAATCTAAAACTTAAATATATTTGTATAATTAAAATATGTATCTATATATAATTATATCTATATATAATGTAAATTATATCATCTTTATATATTCGCTTTTATGCTTTGATGTGCAATAATTATAAAATTAAAATGCTAATATCCCTTTGTAATCTGAAATCTGCCGGTACATATGAAATCTGCATCGATTTTATACACAGATATGCATTTGTCATACGTGCGACCTCTCTGCATCAGTGAAAGAACTACAAATACGTATGTACAGGATGCTCCAAAACCATTTACATAATATATAAATTTATATATATATAAATATATGATAATATAAATATATTCATAATAATATATACACACAAATTTTACCTTTGAAAGCAATTCTGGTAAATGAGATTTTTGATCCATAAGAGCAACAAATTTGAAAACAGTATCATTAACTGGATATAAATATCAAGTACCTAACTTAATAAATTACATGAATTAACTTTAAATTAAAATAATATTAAAATATACACGTACATATATTACAAAAATAAAGCTGAAAATTTAGCAAGCAAACAAATCAGTAACTCAACGAAGAAGAAAATAGGATTAAAATTCTATCATCTGTGATTAAAATTATATCGACCAAAATACTTAGTCGCTTGAACTTCAGAGGGTAGTTCCGGTCGTGCAACAAACAGGGTGACGGCGGAAGGATGTGATGTGCAGGAGCTCCATCTGGTCTCAACGTAGCCAATCTTATACTCTGCTCCTCTTCCCCCTTTTTAATCTCATGCTCTCTCCCTCTTTCTCTCGTTTCTCCTTCTCGCTCCTTTTCTCCTTCTCTTCTACGCTCATCCCATAATCGTAGGCGTCGGTACTTCCACGCGCATGTACGCCACAAAACGTAGGCGTCGCAGCTTTAAGGACGACGCTCGTCTATGACGTCATATTTGTTTCATTCCACCGTGCCAACACGCGTCCGGCTTGTCTTTTCAATATTGCAACTGTGTCATCTCGTTTATCTCGCTCCCTCTACTGCTCTTACCACCGCCATCCGCTTTCCCCGCGGCCTCCTCATTCATCGTCGCAACGTGCCAGTTCTATCACAGTATGTTTAACATGTCGCTTTTTTTTATCTTTCCTCCCAGCTAATGCCATTGTCCCATATGCACACGTGCCCGCAACGGAACGATTCTCGCGTTCATTTCCTGGTTTACCTTTGATTCAGCGACAATGCTATTAGCCCGATTACTGTTCACCTAATTATTTGACTACTATGTTTTAACATTGGAACATTCTGTGATATAAACTAGGCGTTTCAGATGATTAAGGATATATATGGGTATATATGGTCAATTCTTAGTATAAAAAAATAAGAAATTAAGTGATTTTGTAATTACAAAAAATTTCAATATAAATACAATATATACTACAATTATATATTTATAAGAAATATAATTCTATAATATACAATAATTATATTTGTATTAAATGTAAATATGTATAATTTGAATATAAATATTATATAGTTGTACATGAATTATTATGTAATTATGAATGTTTTAATTGGACATGGACATAATTAATTTGATCACGTTATCATTTAGCGCAATCTCGGATAACACGAACAAATGCTTCTCCACTTTGACTAATGTTTTACTGATTCCGAAGAGAATTAATTATAAGATCTTATAAAATTTTCAGTAGAAAAGTGTTGAGATTGTCATTAATCAGTTCGACAGAGTTCGCCGCCATATGATAATAATCGGGAAAGAACTATTTATGAACGACGTTCACCCCATCGGCATTAAACGAACGAGATACGGATAAATATCACGGTATTAATATGCTAGATAGAGAGAGAGAGTAAAACGTACCGTGCAGCTCACAAAGCGAATACACGAGTCGAGAGAGTAACGAAGGTTACAAATATCCCTACCGCGTCAACTACCCCCGTCATCATGATCCTTTTTTTGCCGCGAACATCCGCTATGATTTTCCTCCCCGTTTCAATTTCTCCCACGCTTCCACTCCCTCCATTCATCCCCCTCTATCACGTCGCTGCTTCTTCCACCCTGTCTCTACCGTATCTACCCTCCTCGTATCACGCGGTCTTCCTTGCACCAGCACGCGCACCCGGCGCACCCTCCAGTTGCGTCTCTTCCAACTCATAGGAGAGAGCTCGTCATCCCTCGCGTTCTCGCGAGGACCACCGAGACGCGTCGCTTCGGTCGTGGTCCGACGTATGCCACAACGTCGTCGTGGTGGCCGTCACCATCGCCACCTTCGCACTCGTCGTAGTCGGGTCCTCCGCGGCACGTATCAATCGCCAGGAGTCTGCCGACGACAGATTACCGCGAATCCGTCGAGGCGCGAGTGTCGCGTAAGGACAGAGTCGGGTGGTGGACCCGTCATCCCCGCTCGTGCGACCATGAAGGTCCTGCGGGCGCGAAGCGCGCCGACGAGATAGTCTACGAGGAAGCTGGCTCGCTCGCGGGAATCTCTCGGTTCACTTCCGAGAGTGGGACAATTACTCTCGTTCGAGAGGGAAAAAGCGGGTAGATCGATAGGCGGCCAGCTGGTGTGCGTGTTCGCAGCCGTTTTCGTAGCCAGTCGGTGTGACCGCGCGGGGTGCGGTCCAGGATGGTGAAGGCACCGAGCGTGGCACCCGCCGGTGGTCCGGCGGGTGTCAGGAGGATCCATCCCGGTCCCGAAATTGCCATGAACCCGAGGAATCTGCCCACGGCATCCGCGAGCATGCCGCCTGCTATGCGAGGAGATGCCAACGCTGTCGGCAGAACGACACCCGTTTATTATCCTCAGGTACCATCGAGATCCTAATTATAATGATAGACATGTTTATGCGTAGAAAGAACGTGAATGTATATCCAACTGCCGGAGCATTCGATCAGTTGCGCTGTACGGCTATTTTCCAAACCAACAACCGCGTTTTCCATTCGCAGCACTTCTTCATTTTTATTTATTCTGAAAATGAAACGCGTATTATAAATTATAAGAAATAAATAAACTCTGAAATAAATATAAATGAATAGACGTAGTCTTGCCGAAAGTTTCAATTTTACTTTAACAAAAATCGTGTTTTGTTTTCTTTTAATTTATGATTTATGCCTTGTGGAATCGTTACTCATACAGAAGAACAAAGTATTTAGAATTTGATTTATTGCAACATGTACAACAGTTTTACGACCATGATATAACGTTACATTTGTATATATATAAAATAAATTTTAAGTAACAATATTGATACCACCATACTAAACCAAACAAAATTCTTATTTTATGTAACTTTTGTTTTATATCTTTTTCCGCATCTGTATTATAAAAAGAAAAAAGTTGGAGCGTCTTGATAATTGAAACTTATTTACCACGTTTGCCGTTGTAATCAGATTGATCTCGACAATTGTTGACAAGATAAACTTGAGCTTATTCATTGCTTGTTATTTTTGACATATTTTACTAATTAATAAATAAATTTATTAAAAAATAATGTATATTTTTTTTAATTAACTTTTGGAAGAAAGTTTCTGAAAGATATGTTGTACTTTCTTCTATGCGCAGTTAATTATATTCTTTTGCTACTATCATATATCTTTATTGTTTTTATATACTTATCTACATGTCTAACTATATTTATTATTTTTAAATCAACAACAATTTTTGTTTATTATTTTGTTCATAAATACTTTTAATTAATTAAAAGAATGAATTAATACCGACAATGACAAGAGAGCTTACTTAGGTAAATAATAATATTATTTTCTAATCTTCTCATCCTTGGAGAATGAGGACATTGCTCGCGCTTCAAAATCCGTTTCCTGGGACCGAATGTAGGTCAATCTCCTCGAGAGAAACGCTCTTCGTTGGCGACGGCTGAAACGTTTCCCTCGTTCGTCTCGTTGATCTCTACTAAACGGAGAACAAGCCGAATGAATCTTGTTACCGGAAACTGATAATACGATAGACATTAGACTACATTGTCATCACCATGGCGCAGGCAGAAGATAGCGGAACTCCATGCTTAGGAAAGGAATAATGCAAGAACGGTAATGAAGTCCGGGAAATTACAGAAGTTTAATGCAGCGACTATTGCGATTTCCGATAACGTAGTTCGGTACAATGAGCCTGTATAGCTACAGAACTTCAATGAATGAAGCAGTTTACAGTACTCGATCGTGCGCGCGCGCGCGCGCGAAAAGCGATACAATTTTTAACTGCCCTGCGGAAGACAATACCGCCCTATACGAGAACGTTTTGTTTTTTTCATTTTTGACAAGTGTGATTTCATGTTTCAACATTCATAACAAGAAATATTTTTAATTCGGTATTTTCAGTCTTGAATATCAGATTTCTAGCAACGAAATTTACCGGAAATTTAATATTGTCAATAAATGTTTTAGATCTTGTCTCGATCGGAAATTGTATCTATAATTAATATCCTGTACAAATTGAATTTTAATCGTAATATTGCAAATAGATCTTCGTAGCGAAAAGTAAAAAAAATAATAGTAAATTAAACCAGACCGTTACGTGAAGTGAAGAATTGATAATTCAGTCAGAGCTGGAAAATGTGAAAACTTTATAATGTAATTCTAACTAAAAAAAGTAACACAAATAAAAATGACAAGTCTCCGTACATGTTCTTGCAGTAATTTCATTTAGAGAGTTTTCTCGTTTCCTGATAGCATTGGACAGTAATTAGTTTTCAGGTATTTTTCTTCCCTCGCGTTATTTCAGTTACATTGTGGCTTTTCATATTAATTTTTGAAAAATAAACTCCTTTTATTATCAATTTTGAACACTGGATCGTATTAAAGCATCAGAAAGTGCTGTCGTCAAAATCACCTATCAGTTATCAATACAAATCAGTCTCGCACAGGGATTCCTTTGAAATACCATACTCCTATCACATCCGCGTAGATCGCTCCGCGTGTCAATCAACGTCCGTAACCCGTCGGAATTGTTCTCTGGTTGGGTTTCCGGAAATTTAATCGCGGCTGTTTGCGACAGGTGGACGTCTCGACGCAGGTAGACCTCCACAGCGGCTTCGGCGGTCCTGGTGGCGTTATGGACTCCTGGGATCGTCGCGCGACGCCGTTGTACTCGCGCGAGGACATCAAAGAGCAATACTGCATCACCAGCCGGCAACTGGACGCCGTCGAGAAGTCCGGCGGCGGTTTCTTCGGATGCCTGTCCACGAGGGGACCGTCGCCGTGCAGCTCCACCAGGAATTCCATCCTGTCGGCGTGCGTGCGTAGCGTTCCCAGCGACGAGAACCTCTGTGACGCGCCCTATCCCCGAAGGCCCCTCCAAATTATGTACCGTCAGCCTTATCCGACCTATTCCCGCGGTCTATCGCGGTACGACCTTGAGGACGAGGCGGACTGGATCGAGAGTTCCTACTTTAGACGGCGCCCAAGATCGTTTTGCACCGTACCCGATCCGAAGAGGTGAGTAAGAAAGACAGATCGATCCCTTGCGGTAATACACTTTTTCCTTCAGAATTCTAAACGCGAAAAACGATCCTAATCTATCAGCGACAAGTCGAGAAATTTAAACGTTTAAGAACTTCGAAAAGCTGATGTGGCAATATATTTATTAATTTCCAAATATTGCGATATATGAAACTGCAATTCTCCGATAACGATGAAAAAGTACTTCCGCAAATTTATAATTATATTAATGAACGTGATATATACGTGAGATATTTATGTATATTTTTTAAAAATCAAATATGACCTGTTCGGTTTCATATTCCATTACCAATAATTACGGTAATTACTACATCGCATGCAGTATACCTGCATACGCGAGATTGACACCTGCGAAAAGCGATATTACCTTCGACTATTTGGCAGTCGAACTGCTTCGGATATTTGGGGCAAATTACTCCGTCGAGACGCGTTTAGAATGTATATCTACTAATCGATTTATCGGTAAAGACTTTAGTAACGTAATTGATCGAAAGGCGTGTCGCAGTGCAAATGGTGAGCGTGTAAAAGAAACGAAATTGAAATCTAAGGGAAAGAAACGTTCTTTTATCTATAATACAAATGAGAAAGTTGGAAATCAAAAAATTATTACAAATATGTATTATATTGTTGTTAGGAAAATCATACAATTTTACTAGAAAAATCGATTGTGAGTTTTTGCTAAGAAATCTATAAAAATCTGCATTGTTAAATCTACAACATCAAATTTAACTTAATTCAAGTTGCCCCACTGCTCCTACTCAATATATCGTTATTTTATACTAAACTTTGATACCATGTAGTGCTAATTTGACACTATAGAATATCAAATTGGCACTACACATGGTGTCAAATTTATCCATTGTTGTTTTAGTATAAAATAACGATATATTGAGTAAAAGCAGTGAGCGACTTAAATTGGGTCAAATTTGACACTATAGATTTAACAGAGTGATGACTCTTTTTTACATAATTGATATAGCAAAAAAGTCATATTCAGAAATTTATCTTCATACTTATATTGATCCGAGTATCTTTTATGGTTTTAGATAGACTTTATAAAAACGATATTTATATAGCACGATGTTCCATCGACTGTTACGTGTAAAGCCTTCCGTGGTCTCCTCATAGCATAGTGTCTAGGGTTGGGTTTATTTCTGATTAGCATGAGTGTTGCACCGCCCCTTTATCAGCTTTTTAAGGTCAACTGAAAGCGGTCGATTAAAAAATTATGGTTGCGCAAAATCGCTGTGTATGTGCAGAATATGCGGAAAAAAGTCTGGAGCTAATAGATGTGAATAACGTAAATATAGCATCTCGTGCTAACGATCTTATTTTAAGTTTATTAATTTTTCTGTTTATGCGTTTATTTTTCACGTAATTGCTTTACGGTAAAAATTATCTTTGTGCAATAACGTCATTTTTTAAAGATTAAAATGTATAAAATATACGTGTTTTAACGTAAGATGGTCATGTGCGCTTCGATAGAATGACACGTTGTCATTCTGTTTCCTTCACGATACATCCGTAACGCGTGTAATCGAATCATATTTGCAACAGTACGACCTATACTCGCTTGATATTTTATAGCCTATTTAATTTTCATTATTAACAAAGATACATATTTTATTGAAAAATTCTCAACAGTAACTAAACTGTTAAAATAATTTACAAAATTTTAATTAATGGTTACCATATGTCAGTGATATAAATTTTATAAAAAGCAGCACTTATTTTAATAAAGATTGAATTAATAATTTGAAGTGATAATAAATTAAATTGAAAAGTGCTTTAGACATTTATAGAAGCATCCATCCCCAATTTTGCTGATATTAATTGAGATATCGATTGATAATATAAATTATTGTTTAATGGTATTATAATTTGACAGTCTAAGCTTTTCATCGCGATAGGTACACTTGGGTCCCAGAGGACGAAGAATCCATGAAATTGGAAGGTCCACGACCAGTATTACCACCAGTAGTACCTCCTCCTCTTGCCTCCATGACAACGATGCAAATATCGCAAGTTCCAAAAGCGAAGCACGTGAGCTTCGCAAGATCGCACACGCTTACATCGTTTGAAGTCCCAAGGAACATAAGCCCTCCGAGGCCACATAATCCGGAACGTCTTATAGACTCGCAGCCGACTATGCAGAATACTATACTGCCTTCGTCCTTGCCCTTAGCTCATCCTTATCCTGGTGTTGAGCCACGTGTTCTCGTACTTGGTAAGTCGCGTATTTTAATATCGCGTTAGAATAGTTTTTTAACACAAACTATAAATATAAGATTATAAAATATTAATTATAAAATTCAGAGTTGCGTAAGTTAACTTTTTTTTAACTAAGTTAAATTAAAGTTAACAGCCTTGAAAATTTAACTTAATTGAGATATAAAAGTTAATCCATAGTGACATTAATTTAATTAAAAGTTAAGTTAATGAAAAAAAAGTAATTGAAAAGTTAAAAATTAAATTTGTTTTATTTCATGATTTCAAGTTAACTTTTTTTTAACTAAATTAAAAAATTAAGTTAAAAAATTAACTTTTTTAACTAACTAATTAAAGAGAGACATATATATTTCACAGATTTTGATCAGTTGTATGATCTTTTGCATGATTATATTCTGGGGCACCAAAAAATAATCCCTATAAAGCAGTAAACTGCACTTTTCCAATAAAATCGTGATTTTAGCTCACAACGACGCTTTAAACCTCTTTACTCTTTGTTTAAATGTAAATGAAAAATATTTGAAATTATTTAAAATTAGAAAAATACATTTCCGATAAATACGAATGTACAAGCATATAATCCGAGTATGGGATCCATATAACGTATCGTATATCAACTACCCCTAATGTTAACTTTTAAAAAATCAAATTAAAAGTTAATTGTTACCGATAAAATATAACTCTATAAAGTTAAAAAGTTAAGAGTCTAAAATGTAACTAAATAAAGTTAAAATTAATTAATTTTTTTAATTTTTCAACTTAACTTTTAACTTTTTAACTTAGCATTATCTAATCTTGATAAAAATACAAATAGAATATTTTTATATTGGTTCTTAGTTGAAAATAAATTATTAATTTTTATTGAAATTTAATCTGAGGTTCCATACTGTGCAGCAACTGCGCACGGATGATCGTCCCGCTATTTTGATCTCAAGCCAAGTATCATAGATTATGTGGGGAAAGTAGTTAAAGCTATTTACTCGCGGTCGGTTTGTGACGGCAAAGCCTGCTACACGCTAGAGTGACATGAATTAAAGAACTATAATGTAATAAAATTCTTCACAATAAAATGAGCGAAGGAATACACTTGAAGTTGCAAGTGCAAAATAAATTTCTGTTATTATACTACGTTGTCAAAAAATATTAAACAAAATACATAGTGAACTAAATTTTATACCAATAACTTTTTTTTTAATTTTTTGACAAGTTTAAAATTAATTTTGTTATTATAAAATTTGCATAAGAAATTTATTTAAAGATTATTTATTTATAAATTAACTTGAGAAAAAATATATTATTTTTACATAAAAATATTATTTGTTCTTTATTTAAATATTCAAAGTACCAAATATTTAAAATTAATTAAAGTTGATGTAAAACAATTTCTCTCAAGTTTGCTATAATAAATCGACAAACTTTTTTACAGTTTACAAATCAATTCGCGGCCGATTTTTGTAGCAATTTATTTGTTTCAGAGAAACAACCTAAACGCGGTGCCATGAAGACTCAGGCGACGCAAACCGAGCTCCCGCCAATGTTTCGCGGTCGTATACTTCCGGTGACTCTCAGTCCAAGAACCATCCATCGTGTCAAGATGGTTTCGCAAGGTGCTCAAACTAATGGTGTTTTCAACGGTAGAAAATTAACCAAAAGTTACTCGGAAGCTGGACAGTTAGGAACGCCGCTTGGTGGCCAGGCTGGTGCGCCAGCGAAAGAGGAAACTGAACACGAGCCGCTCCATAGAACTCAAAGTGAAGAGCCACCAAGGTCACCCTTTCTTATTTCAACAACACCACCACCTATTCGCTCTATCACCACCACCGTTGTCGTTGAAGAAACTTTGCCAAATGGAGACATCGCAATTGTTCCTATTGGCGTTGTAAGTGTATTTTGATATCAACTCTTATATATTTTACACAAAAAGCTTTAATCTGGAAGTGTAGAATCATGCACATTTTTACATCTGACACAACGTATAATTTCAACGAATCGATAAAGAGTAATGATAGTAAATCATTTAATAGTAAATTATCTATTCTGTGTTTATTCCAGTGTAATCAACATCGTAAATCCCTCGATATAGACGATCAGGAGATTTTTATAAATTTCAAACCGGCACCGGTGTCGCCTGATGCTCGCGCGCTTCTTAGCCGGATCTCCGAGCCCTCTCGTCGATTCCTTCCTCTCCAGAAGACCTTCTCCGATGGCGAAATTCGTGTCGAGAGACGTGAACTTATTGGAGAAAGTAGCGAGCCGAGTTATCCTCACACTTGCAGAAGGAATCAGCAGGATTCTTGGGGCAGAACTGTCAGAACACCCGTCCAATTTTCCTCGACACCCGAGGATCTATCTTTGTTGCGAAGCCTCTCGCCTCACGAGGATCATCACGAAGAGGTAGATAAACATTTTGAAATGTATTTTGAAGATTGAAATTTATCGTAATATATCAAATAAAATTTTTGTAAAATAATTACATCTTTTTAGGAATTCCATGAAAATCTAATACGTCGGGGTCTCTTTCGAAAAAGAAGCGTATCCCTTGAAGATGGTGTACAAGGTTTATCATCAGATGATTTTATGCTTCCTAGGTCACTTCCAACTTCCCCTACATCGCCAACTGCAGCAGCAAGTGTGTATTATAATGCAGTTAATAACCACTTATGCTTATGTTGATGAAGAAATTCTTGTAGAGAATGTAATCAACGATACTTTTTAGCAACACGAAGAATTTCGCAGACCCCGAAGGACGATTCGTTGCCCACCTGCGCCTTACTGCACGCTGCAGTCTATCCGCCTGCTTTTAGTACTGGGACCGGCGTCGCCGGTACTAGTATCGTCGGCCAGGTGACTTCACCGTTTGCCTCCAGTGATTCTTTAACGAATGACGTGACCAGGGACCACAGCGACGGAATATGGAACGAGTCGCAAGCGACAGTTCTTCAAGCTGATTCGTTAGCTCTACTGACACCATCCTCGAGGAGAAGACATCTCCTGCTTTTGCAACATCAGCAACGTTCCTCGATGGATACCGAGGCTCTGGACGTGGAAGACGAGGTGGAACCTTGCCCGCCGAGTCCGAGAATACGTCTGGAACCAGCCACTCCGGTGCAACCCCTCACACCAAGGTAGATTAAGATTCATTTTAATAGAATCTCTTCGGTAGAGAATATTAAAGTTATTAGATAGTTGCGGAGCAACCAATCCGATACTCTGATCAAAAGATATCAAGAGATTTTCGTATTCTGTTTTGCGTATTATTTTACTTATAGGAGGTACTTTTTACAGACGGTCTTACAGAATACAAGATCTGTTACCAGTACAGTTTCAACAAATTTACTACAATGATGTATCCACAGCAGCACATTTTTATGCGTACGATATGTAAGACTACAACACATTCTGATTTGGTTTCATAGTAGTTCCCCAATTTTAAATTCGATATTTTCGATAAATCATGCTTGGAACACACATCTCAAAATATATTATTGTACATAATCATTTTGTACATAAATTAATATATTTGAGTGGACATACATTTTTGCATACAATACAAATAAAATGATAAGTAATAATTTCAATAATTAATATCACTTTTTCTATGATAACTATTTTTATAAAAGGATAAATTGCTAAAAAATTCTTTATATATATATATATATAATTAAATATTTAGTATGGAAATTGCAGAATAATGTTCGCTCAAGTGTGTTCATTCCTCCCAAAAATTGATAAATACATTAAATAATATAATGCAATATATTATGTTATAATTTTTTAAAATTATGATTATAATTTTGTAAATATTTTTTTTTCGGTTTTGCAATCATTATAATTAATATTTATATATATTTTATATTTTATATTTTTGTTTGACTTTTTATTTTGTGTTTGTACAATAAAATGTTAAAAGATACCATTATAATCTTCCAATATAGCAATAGTGGATACGTGGTTAGGAATTTGTAGCAAGGAAGACATTCATCCTTACGTTCCCTTAAAAAATATATTATCGTCAATGTACATATTTTTTCCTTAGTAATGTTGCAATCAATGTGCATAAAATGTTTATCCCACAACATTGAAATTGATACCCCGCTTTTTCTTCAGGTCTTTTTCTCCACACATTTAAATTAAAATTTATGTTCATTCCTCTCCCCAGTATCGAATCATCTATTTCTGCAAGTAACAGCCGACCGAGAAGTGGATTACGCCGCGCGAGTCCAGGTCCGCCGTTGTCTCAACCCCAGTCGCAGTCGTCGAGCGAGTTCGGTTTGAGCCTAGCGAGGACCGACTCGGGCGGACGCACGAACACCGATATTTCCGAGACCTCCGAGGATTATGTCACTGCCAATACTTCTACGGAAACCGGGACCACTACAGGCACGTCCGCCACGACCAGTTCCTGGTCGAGGCCACCGCAGACGTCCAGTGCCGCGGCGTCGGCGCCCGCTTCGACCACCGCGACCGCCGCCGAAGGCAGCTCCTTCGAAAGCGCAAGCTCAATTTACAGCCTGGCGAGGAGCGAGGTAAATGCTCGTTAATTACATTTTAATTATGCCGGAGGGATGTCATTCAAATTAAACAATTTAAATAAATTTACAAGGTAATCGCTATACATATACAATATAACTGCACATTATCACTTAATTTTTTGCTACCTTTGACGCAAATTTAGTTTTTAATTTTAATTTCTAATTTTTTCTTTAAATTAAAAATGTATTCAAAATGGACTTAAGACTTTGTATAATTTTTACTTTATATTATCGATCTAATTTAAACTTTAATTTAAACTTTAATTTTTCGCAAAATAAAATTCATTTAAAGTTAATTAAGCAACAGAATTTTACGATATTAGCAAAAAAAAATTTAATTAAAATTTGTACTTTACGTTATTAGGCTGTTATCGAGGAGCCGTGTAGTCCGCCACCAATTTTAGAAGAAGCGGAAATTGCATTTGGATTAGAACTACCTCCACCGGCAATGAGGTCTAGTAGCAGCAGTAGTTCAGGTAGCTACGACCTAAAGGACGCGATGACGGACCTGAATAATGATTTAGAGCAAGTCGCTCCACGCAGTGGACATACCTCAGAGACTGAATTGGATCGAGATGTAAGTTTAAAACATTATATAATTTATAAAAATATTTTTGTTCAAATTTGTGAAAAGTTCGAAGACATTTACAGTCAAATTACATGTAGCTGTAAGATATATAAAATAAAATAAAATATTTATTAATCGCAAAAGATTTATTGTTTCATTTCGGTAGGAGGGTCATCGATCGTCGTCCGGAGGTTACGCCGAGTCGCCACCTGACGTTCGCATGTGGAGCGAAGAGGAACGTCGTCGAAAGAAGAAAACTTTTAGCTTAGACTTCCTCGGAGGAACATCGAGCAACGTAGAACTGGAGCACTCCGCGGAGCCGGTATATCCGGAGAACGTCGAGGTCAGCCCGACTCCTAGCCATCGTCACAGATCGCGCAGCAAGCCAACGTCGGCTCGGAGTCCTCATCGGAATAATAGAAAACGGGACTCCGTGCAACAGTCGACGCAAATGCAGCAACAACAAGTGCTCAGAAGTCCACAAAAGGAGGAATGGAGAATAGAGCAAGCCGAGGATGGTCCACACGCGCCGACGTCCGATGATTCAAGCTGCAGTCATCATTATCATATGCATCATCATCACCATCATCACATGCATCGGGAAGGTGCAGAGAACGCGAGACATCGTCGGACCAGGGAAAGCCCAAGAAGAAAGACCAGTGGCTATATTTCTACCAGAAGACGCAGCAATGAGGTAAGCACGACGATCGTTAATGTATTCGGCATATTTTGTTATTCTTTTATAAAGAAAAGATTCTTACACGGAAAGTATCGTTTGCTGATGTAACTAAAAATTTGGTTAGATCTGAAAATAATTTTATTGGATCCTCAAATTATGTAATAATTTGATATCAATTATGTATTGGAACAAAAGTGCTACTCCATTTGTATGTATCATGTTTACATGATTTAAAAAAATTTAGCAATTAAAGTCAATATGCTTCTTTTATTTAATCAGCGATAACTCAGCAAAAAATCTTAGGAACATTTAAAAAAATGATTTTGTAAAGAAAATTTTAAGCTTTCACGTTAGAAAGTCGAAAATTTTCACAAATTTTTTTTTTGGTTACGTGACAGGCCTACAAAATGAGAAGAAAATTTCCTACTTTGTCCAGCTCGTCGTTTTCTATATCTATATATATAAATTATCACAAGGGCTCAAAAAATATAGTAGTCTCGTGAAAGTAGAGATTTTAAGCTTTAAAACTTTTTTTAATTTAAATTTCGTTTATTTTTAACAAAGTTACAACTGCTTGAATTTGGAAGTTCGTAGCTACGAACTTTTTATCCAATCCAATAGAACGCTTAAAGGCAAGTTTACGGTTCATATTATGTAACCATAGCATTTTGGTTACTGTAGTTACATTGTGAAACGTAGCCTAAACTGATTACTAAAATTTTTAATAAGAAAAACCCAATATTCGGTCGAAGCTGATCTCAGTGCTTAAATACATATTTTCTTGTGTAAATTTATATACATTTTGATTCCAGAATAGTCACTTATTAAATTATACCAAAATATCATTTATTAAATTATACAAGCGATTTAATAATTTTTTAATGCTAATAAGTATCTTTTAACAAGAATATTATAACATTTTAAATCCGGAAAAACATTTTGACGCACAATATGCAGAATCAGAATGTATTGTATATAAAATCACATAAGAAATATGTATTTAAGCACTAAGATTTGTTTCGATCGAATATAGAGTTCTTCTTATGTAAAATTTCATTTATATTTAATACGGTCTAACAATTGCTTCGTATTATAATTGTTAGAATTATGATTGTTAGAATTGTCAAAACTTCTTGCAGCACTCTATTCATTATGTTTGAGATTTTTATTTTGATGTTTCAAAAAATCATTTTCTGTATTTAATTTAAAAAATTTGTGGATATCTCTCTCTCCTAACAAAATTATTTTTCTGTGTAATTCTTTCTTCTTCGCACATGCTATATCTATAAACAATCGCGTTGCAGGATAAAAACGCGGCTATAACGGGCAGTTTACCGCGAAGAAAGTCCCGTGTCGCGGACGACATAGTTTGTTCTAGTCGCTTGAGTCCTGGACGTTATCAGCGTAGTCCAGGGCACAATGGTCAGCGAGCGCTCGTCATAGAAGCACAAAGTCCGGAGGCGAGACTGAAAGCACTGTCGGCGGAATCGTTGAGATCCGTCAGTCCGGGCAGCGACAGTGTCTTTTATAGCGAAAGCGCCGATCAGCCTTGCATCTCCGTTGCCGCTTTGGACGCTGCGCACTGTCATCATTGTGGCAGAGAGGTGATATATTACTTATCGTGCATTATTCATTTGTCTTTCATTTTAACCCTTTGCTCCGAGATGACCTCTTTGCGAGGACAATATTGTTTCGTCATTCGAACGCGCTCTCTAGAAATGGAAATATGTTCAATTTTATATCGTTTTAAGTCTTTCTAATTGTGTTTTTGACTTTTATGCGATATTAATAATGCATTACAAGAATTACTTTGAATTGTCTAAGCTAAGAGGAAACTTTAAATGCAAAGAGTTAATAGGACTTAATGATATTATACCGTACTTACTTACGATCAAAAGCTTTCTTGTAACAATTTTTTTAAATTAAAAAGATAAACGTAAAATACATTTCTGTATAGCTTTATTGTAGTTTCAAATTAAAGCATTTTCTTGCGAGTAAAAGATATGCAAAGTATATTTGTTACACATTTAATTTCTGCAACTTTCTAAATATTGAATCAAGAAAATCATTATTATTTCATAAAAATTTTGACGTTTGGAATGTCGTAGTATTCCTCTGAATAGTTGATTTTAACCCCTTAAAAATCTCATTAATTTTTTGTAGTCTACTTGTACAAATGTTAATTACACAAATAACTTTTTCTTTTGCTTGATATATTAATGAGTTGTATAAATAGCGCTTATAGAAATAGCGTATAGATTTATGCTCTGCTTTTGAAACTAACTTTGATATATTTTCCTACATATTATTTTTACGAACATAATTTTTAAAGAAAAATAAGACTGTATTACAAGTAAAAACATTTGTATTAAAATAAAAATATCTATGAAGTTTACATAATTTTCTTAAATAATAGAAAATGTTTACATATATTTGAATAATTATTAAAATATCAAATCTCATTCTACTTTTTTCACTTTTTGTATAAATAAATTTTATTGAAATAAATAAGTGTTCCATAAGTCTTTTAAAAGATTGTAAATATTTGTCTTAAAAATTAAAATAATCGAGAATATACAGAACTTGAATATCATGAGCTGTTAGCATCTATTCATTTCTATAGACTTGTAATGTCATAAATGCTCAACTGCACGTAGAAAATTAAATACGTATGCGAAGTAGTACTTCTTTCTATCTACTTATCTGTCAGTCTATCTGCCTTCTTTCTCTATCGTGTGTGCCCTCCTGTTGCTTCACTCCCGAGGTGCCGGAAGAGATCGTTCGACCACCGGCAGGTTTTGCGGACTCCCCAGAAGGACACAGAACATCTTCCAAGCACGTTACAGGACATCGGTTGTACAAGAAGTTCGACAAGAGGTACAGATCGGAAGATCGAGGAGACCGTAGACATCGCCGTAGCAGTGCCGGTAGATCGGATATTCGGGCTAAATCGGAAGAAAGAGCCACTCCCCGACCAGGAAGTAGAGGTTCAATCGATGACATGGGCAGGAGAAGGTTGCAAGCTCGAAGTACTGACGCTAGTATGGAAATTCTTACAGGTAAATTAAAAAATATATGTTAGAGATAAAAAGTAAAATATTTAAATCAAATTTATACATCATTTGAAAGGTTGAATTGTATCTTCTTTATTTTATTTTTCAGTTATACTTTTAATATAAAATTTTAAACTTTTTTAAAAATAAATAATGTTAGAATAAAATAAGAGTAAAATTTAAGTAAAGAAGAATGAATAAGAGTAAAATTGAACAAATAATATATTTATCATTTAATGCATTTAATGAATTTAAAATTTAATGAATAATATTTGTCATTTCTTTTTAATGATAGGAAGAGAAGATGAGGATACTTATGTAGAACCGTACTTAAGTAGCGAATGGATTTATATCGGGGATCTCGAGGAAAGTCACGTATGGAAAAGGCCTGACAGCAGAGATGGTGACGACGAAGATAGTATCCATAAGGAGCGACGGGATTCTCAAGAATCTACGGAGAGCGAGAAGAATTTTAAGAAGAGATATCAAGCAGCCACGCATAGGATGGTACATCGAAAAAGCAGCGGTGAAATGTACAAGAGGATACAAACGAAATGTTTCGGTAAGTCGGAGATTAAAATAGTTTCTAAAATAGTTTTGAAATTTAACATAAAGTTTTTATTTTCTTTTTCTCTCATATCTTTTATGTTTTGTTATTTTATAATGGATTACTGGCTATGTAAAAAAATTGAAACTTTTTAACGAAGCAACTTAGAAGAACTTTATAAGAAATGACAGCTCAAGTGAAAAATATTTGGAAAAATGTTTGAAAGAAATGATAATAAAAAATATAGCTTGATATCTCGATGGTTCCAGTTTAAAAGTACATAAATCATATGAACTTTCGAGATGTTAATCTTTTAAGTGTAAATCCGTGAACGCCTATTAGCACGATCGTTAATCACGGTTTTATCGGTGCAGCTGTTCTATAATCGTTCGTGTCTATGTTAGAAATTCTTAAGCCGCATTCCAAAATCTCTACGTCATGAGATCATTCGACGGATGGCGGATGACGTCCACGCAGCACAAACGTGCCGCTTTAACGTCGATTCACGCATCGCCGAAGAATATTCTTAAACCGTTTCGCGAAAGCATCCTGTGATATATCTGCTATAAAAAAAGAGATTTAGATAACGAGCTAACGGGGGCAAGATGAAGGCGAAAAAGAAATGTAGGAAAAGAAGTAGAGGAAGGAAAAAGGAAAAAGGAGGTATCACAGAAGTGACATGAGGTAGAAGAGATACATAAACAAATAGATCATGGTGTCAGAAAGTTAAATGGATAAAATTTATTCCAATCATCTGACATAATTCTTCTGAAGACAATCAAAGAGATTGTGGAGAATAATACAAGTTAAAAATTGAATAGATGCAGAAATAAGGATTATAATAAAATTACACTTATAACATTATATTCATAACCGTGAGTACAAAGCGAGTTATCATGAATATTCAAAATTATTCAAATTATGAAGAAAAAAGAGAGAGAGAGCTAGAGCAAGGGACACAGAAATTAAAATTAAGAGGTCGAGAGAAGAAGAGAAAAGAATTAGGTCATGACAACACGTCGAAAAAGACATGGATAAAGAAAGAAAGGCCGGTACAGAGGGAGAGAGGCGTTCTTCCCGATTCTTTAAATAAGCTCCGCGTAATACTCCGTCGTCTAAATATAATCCACCCGAGCAGCCATCGAGCGAGACGTTAAGTCCGGCTCGTCCGTGGTGAAGAAGGAAACCGAAGTTAGGGGAGAAGTGATTTGTGCTCGCGCGAAGACGACGAAGAAGCGCAGCGGCGCTCGCGAACCGCGGGAACGTGCGAGGGTACCGGAGGGACCGGCGCGGGGCGGTGACTTGAAGAAGGAGCTTTTGGCTGGCAGTCAGTGGGTCAGGGCGCCGAGTCGCATTCCACGAGGCTGCTGGCTCGAGACATCGTCTTCGCGAATCCGCCGTTTTCTGTGTACACCCGTGAGTTCATCCTCGACCGCGCGCGAACGGAGCTTCGTCTTCCGGAGGTGCGGTGGCGGTGAAAGACATTTTCCCGGTATCAAACTACAGATTAAGATTGAGATCGAATTGAATTCTAACTAATCAGAAGAAAGAAAATTAATACATAAGTTTAGCGAACTTTAAATGGTCAGAGATTCCAATTCAATCTCAATTTTAATTTGTGGTCTGATTAATTTCTCTTCGATATCGAAAAAGTGGAGGAATTCGAGAAGAAGACAGCTCACGAGTGATAAATCTCCTGCTGTCTTGAATTTGTTCCGTTGACAACCGACGATGGTGTGCAACTCCGCCGGTTCTGAGTGCACGACGGAAGTGGACAAGGACGTGACATTGAAGCGAGCTCTGGAGGAGCTGCTTAAGTGCATGCTCAGAGTCTGGTGTAGGGAGGGTCAAGCTTTGGCGAAATTTGGTGTGACGACGACAGGTAATGGGATGAAGTTTTATTTTCAAATATAGAAAAAAATGTTTGGAAAAAGAAGTAAAAATGACAGTTGGATTGATCAGTAATGACGAATGATGTTTACGTTAATGTTTTAAGCAGAATTTTTTCAACGTTAAAAGATCTCGTATTAATTGATCTCGTACTAATTGTATGGAAAAAGTTGTTTCAGTCAAATTGACTTCATGATATTTTGTAACTTATCAAACACTGATCAAATATCTCCATAAATATATTTAAAAATAGAAACATTTTTCTGTAACATCATTTGAAAGCTGCTACTTTGGGTCTAATCGGATCTATAATACACAATATGTGTTTTAACCGTGTAGGTATTTATGTATATATAACTATACATGTATCACATAATACATAAAAATGTTAGACATACTAATAGATTAGCCATCAACACACATACACACACCTACTCCACTTTTTTTCTTCTCAAAGTTGAAACTTTGCAATGTACAAATCATACTAAGATTCAATACATCAATACGTTACGATCGATAACGTTTATTCTAAAAAATATGTTAATACACAGAAAGAACGGTTTTGCTGAGGTATTTAAAAATTTAGCTACGTAGATACAGATCTAAAAATAATTTTGTTGGAGCATTAAAACAATTATGTAGGACGCACAAACTGGTTACTAGAACGTTAAAACTTTTTGCAGCATTGTTCAGCTTAAGATTTCTACGTAATTATTTTGATGGTCCAACAAAATTATTTTCACATCTGTATTTAGCTAAATTTTTAAATATTTTACCAAAATCGTTCTTTGTATATAAAACAAGATATTTCCTTTTAAAATCTTCTTTCTTTTGAATCGTAACATTTAGTGGAGGTTACCTTTTCGGTCAAACGACAGTTAATTATAATTACGACATTCTCTAGAGAGTCTTACAATTATTTGAAGAGACTGCGGAGATAATTTATATTTATGACTTAATTTCTATTCATAAAGCACTATGTGGCGCCAAATTAACGACGAACAAATAACTATAGCATAGGTGCTATATTTCGATACAAAAGTTAAAAGGCGTACCGCTAACGACACTGAACGTCGGCCAAGAATTGCCGAGGCATGATTTAAATGTCTCAATAAGTGCACCTGCCATCACAAAGTATCTAGTACAACTCGTGTATCGTAAGAAGATCTAATTCATTGATAAACGTTTTACGCCTGACATTTACGATTATGGCATTATTGGTGTCGCGACATTTTTCTAATCGGGCTCAAATCGATCAAAGCATCCATAGATGGGACATACGGCGATGAATCTAGGGGACACATGGGGTATTACACCACCTCATTACCTCTCGACCACTGCCTCTATGTATATCCATACCCGGCAGTGCTTATGATGCCGTATATGACGAACTTCGCGCGCACGAGTCGTGCTTTTTCCAGCGTCTTTCACGTTCATGATCAAAGCGAGGACTAAAATGGACAAAGCTTGCAATGGCGCAAAAATAAAAGCGGCACTGTGGTGGTACGATGACGGCGACCGGAGTCACCTCTGTATCACGAAGGAAAAGGTCTGAGCTCTAAATATGCTCGATTACGTTTGTAGCTCATGCTGACGCGGCACCCGGCGCCTTTTGCATTGAACGTTTACGTCGCGTGCCATCGTCGATACATTTTTCTTCCGCTTCGGCCCTTTTCTGATCTAGAGCGACCGATTTGCTTGCCCGATTGTGCTCGCGTGGACATAATCGTGTCGCACTATTCTTGTGATACGTCACTCGATACCACATAGCATGGCTGTAAAGCGCGAGGCTTAACAATTTAAACCACTTCATGTACGCGAGTCCCTTTGTCCAAGTATATTATAAGCTTCGCGACAAAATGTAATCCGCTCGGATTTGCATATTAAATGCTACTGTAAGAGGAATTAAAATGTACTAATCTTTTGTGTTTCAACATACGAAATTATGATAAAAAGAATATAATGTGCGTTTTTCTTCATAAACATTAGTAGGTATATAATATTTAATAAATATTAGAAAGTATTATATATAGAATAATTATTATAATATACAAAATAACTGTTATAAAATTTGAGATTAGTTAAATTTTCTTTGCCAAATTGTAAGTGTAAATATTTAAGTGTATTACTAAAGTGTATTTAGTGTTAAATAAATTAATAATTATAATTACCATCGAATAAGTAACAATCTGTGAAATTGATTTAACAATATTTTAAAATATTTCTTTTTAACAAATGTAATAAAAAAGATAAAATATATGTGTTAATTTTAAATTTTGTAATGCAAAATTCGCTAAAAATATAAAAAAGATAATTCTGCTAATTGCGAAGGGTTTCAACTTTCTAATTTCCTTGTTTTCGTGAGAAAAAGCTGTAGCTATATACTTAATGTTTGCAGAAAGCGACAAGAGGGTAGTTGTGAAACGCGAAGCTGGCGGCGAATTTGGATTCCGTATTCATGGCTCGAAGCCCGTGGTAGTTTCCGCGATCGAGCCAGACACGCCCGCGGAGAGTTCCGGTCTCGAGGTTGGCGACATCATCATGTCGGTGAACGGCAGAAGCGTTATGGACGCCACGCACTCGGAGGTCGTAAGACTGGCGCACTCCGGTACGGATGTTCTGGAATTAGAAGTCGCAAGAACTTGCAACGTGTTGGCGCCGCGTGTTGCACGCACCGGAGCGAAGGAGAGCGTTGAAGAAGCACCACTCTACTCGGGATACTTATGGAGAAAATCCACATCGTCGAGTACGGAAAAATGGGTTCGACGATGGTTCGCTCTTCGTCGTGACAACTGCCTGTATTGTTATAAGACTGACGCGGTAAATGAAATTTATTACTTTTAAAAGCAAATTTGTAACGTTAGCTTATTGCGTACCGGGCACCTGCGAATATCTACGTAGAGAATTTTTATGAAAAATCATAACAAAGGAAATATCTCCAGGTATATTTAACAAAAAATAAAACAAGGGATACCTTTTTAGTTTTTATTTAAAAGTAAAAAATAGAATCGATGTAATTTTGAAGATTCGAAGTGGAAATTGCCGAGAATTGATTTACGCAAGTCGAGAGTCAATTTCGATTTAAAGTGCACTTATCGTAACAGGATTCGCAACCGGTGGGAGCGGTAATGCTTCTCAAGTACGATGTGGAGCAGACGCCTGAATTGAGAGTGCACGGTTTCGCGATAAAGAAAAAAGGTGCTCCAACACTACGATTGGCGGCCGATACCGAAGAAGCGGCAGCTCGATGGATTACGGTTATTCGCGAAGCTGTCGAGAGGAACAATCAGGTAATGCAAAGTGAATTGCTATACGAATTGTTTAATGTCTTTTCGACTATTTATTTAAAATAATTACATTTTAAATATAATTTTTGTATAAAGTATATCTACAAACACATATACACGTACAATGTTCTTTGTAAATTTTTTTATAAACTTGTTTACTTTTTCCCATTCATTTAGCCAATTTTTTAAATAACTACTCAATGCTTTCGTCAGATTGACACTTGGCTGGACTCTTCGCTAAGAATGAGAGAGATGGCTGCGTGCGCTATTCAGAGGCCAGATTGTTTCGGGTATTTGAACAAACAACAGGAACACGCACGGAAAACGTCCTCGCCCACCGGTTGGTCCAGGCGATATTGCGTGCTGAAGGACGCCGCACTATATTTCTATGATGACGCCAACGCCGACAAAGCATTTGGCGTGGCGTGTCTACACGGCTTCAGGGTACATAGCAGCGCTCCGAGTTCCGGCGGCAGGAAGCACGCTTTTGAGTTGCAACCACCGGATCCCACGCAAAGAAGTTATATCTTCGCTAGCGAATCAGAAATGGATAAAAAACGGTAAATAAGCAGATATCAGTCATTTTCAACTCCAATATGATAAAAGTCCTAGTGATCGGACATGTATACGTATATCCGGACATTTACACCAAATTTATTATTAATCTAAAATATTTTTTTACTACAATATGATAATTTAATCGTACTTAAAGATTACAATTAAATAATATTTTATTTAAAAAAAAACATTTAAGATTAATAATAACAAATAAAATTTTGCGTAAATGTTTGGATAAAGATATATGTCTGGTTATTAGGATTATTTTTTTGTACACAGAATAAATGCAAATGTAATATATTTTTCTTTTTAAAATTTAATAATTAATTAAAACTTTTGACATTTATTTTCCTTATTATTAGTGTATATCTACCGAAAATAATTTTCTACTATTATTTCAGGTGGTTGGCCGCCCTTGAATACTCGATTGATCGGTGGATAAAAATAGGTTGATGCGAAACAATCCGCCCTACGATGAATCCAACGAGTCGCAGTAGCGAAGATCGTCCAAGGAAATCCTCGTCCGTATCCGTTTCCGGTTCCTAACACGTTGTGGATTATCCGCGACGATCGCCGTTGTTACCTCGACGATCACCACACGCTCGTGGATGTTTGCCAAGATTCTTTCATTTCAACAACATTATTAAGTCTCATCGTCATGATCATTACTGTAACTGCTGATTAACAGTGACGTTACTTTAAATTGTTCAAATAAAAGTTAACGCTAAAACAAGATAACTTGTGTTCGGAATTGTCTTGTGTCGTCGGAATTGTTTATCAGCAGTAATGCAATTCCATCGAACGTCACCGAGACCATTTGAGCAGAAAGATCGATATAATCTTGATGAGTTGAATGCTATGGGGGTAAAGAAATATACTTTATGTCGGTTATTTATATTGCGTTTCTTTCTCTCGAATGAACGAACGAATGGACACTTTTGTGTTTCCGTTCCATCAAAATCGGAACTCATCAAAATTATACTGATTCCAATTTTAGTAATAAATTTTCAGATCTCATCGCGCGTCAAGTTTTCCCATTTAATCTCCATCCTGTCCATTGCACATCCCATTATTAGCACAATACTTTAATTTTGCATACTTGAATTTTGATCAAAACATGGTAGTAAAATAATGAACATTAAAAAGAACGAAATCTTTAAAAGAACTTTAAGTATTATATAATATGATTCGCGGCAATCTCGATATAATTGAGAAAACGAAAGTCCTCCGAGGTTGTTTGTCGCTGAAATTCTATGCGCACATGAAGATAACTTTACGAGGAAAGATCTTCAAGAAACAAGCGACAGATTCATCGGATCGATTAATTCTAACGGCGAAAAAGAGATGCGTTTCGCCAGCCGTAAAATGCGTACGTGCATGCGTAGCGGTAGTTACGCATATGCGACACATGTGCATGTGGAATTGCCATTACCTATATCGCTATTCTTACCAACGCCAATATTTATAACGAACGAAAACTACGGGGCTTACCTGTAAAAACGAGAGAAATAAAAGGATCGCGTGTGTGCGGGCGTGTCCAGATTGTGTGAACACGCGCAATTATCTATCCGATAGAAACAGAAAACCCAAGATATTGTGCGTATCTGTTGAAAATCGCGCTCATCTTCTCGCGTGTATAGTAGGAAAGTACGAGGAGACTGGCGTATATACATTTTAACGAGAAGATAGCCCTACGCTGGCACATCAAGTTCAGGCTGATCCTGTCCGCTCTTACTGGTGCATATAGGGTGTCTCTGAATTATCGGCACACATTTTATAGATATAGAAATAACACACAGATTAATAAGAAATGATTATTTCAATTATTTTCCAATCAAAATGTCTAGGAAACTTTATTTATATTGAATGTATATTTTGAGTAAAAAATTAAACAAGAAGTATTTAATTTATAATTTTATTTGATATCGAAAATTTGGAAATGTGTATCTATGAGTACTCTTATAACGTTTTTATTGTTCTAATAAACTTTCGAAAAATGTAGAAAAATTCAGGTTACTCTCCAACATCTTTGTTACGTTACCAAATAATTTTTTACTTAAATGTTGATTTAATAAAAATTGAAATTTGAGAAAAAATGAGGATAAAATTTAAGAGAAAAATTTCACTTGCGACTTTGAGCAAAAAAGATTAAGATTGCAAACAAAGGGTTAAAAGGTCGATTGCAAATGATTTAACTGAATCATTAAAACATGTGTCGATGATCTAGAGACACTTAAAAACATTGAAAAAAATTTTTTATTTTTAAACTTTCTTTGGATACCAATATAATACACAAAAATTATACAAACTTATTTCCTTTTTTAAACATGTTTTTACTAGCGTGTATTGTGTTTTATTTATATATTGATAAAGATAAACATATTGAAAACAAGTTAACGTACAACGGCAACAGGATGACGCACATGGGAGAAAAATGAAAAATCGTATTTTGCCCTCAAATCTTAATTGATTTTAATATGTTTTAAATTAAAGCTTATTCAATTTTTAAAAAGTTGTCAAAGCCAATTTTTAAGATTTAGGCATATTTTTAAAAAAGCAGATGTAAAATAGCAACTGAAAAAAGAAAGCATTTACAATTTTAATCTAATTTGTATTAAATTAGTACATGTATGATTTTGATGTAACAGATAATGAATCTAATTATAGTTGCAAAATTCAAAATAGTACATATATTCATTATGACAAATGCTTAAATTAAAAATACTTTTTATTTCTGTGAAAGATTATATTACAACATTTAAGATTGCTGATTATTTGCGCGAGTATTCTGGGTATTTGTCCTATTACGCAAGTACTCATAATAGCTATACTTATTCTCTTGTACGACAATATTTGCTTCACAAACATATCACAAAAGTCCGACAATGACTTTTGAGCTTCATCGTTAACAGCTTTCGAAGGGCGTTTCCATTCTTTCCGCTGGCTATTTATGTAAGAATCAGACGAAGTTAAAAGCTTCTTAATTATACCGTCGTTTGTTGCATCTCTACATTTAATGTTTTCAAGTGTAGACTCTTTAAATCGTTTGAAATTTTTGTTATGTGCTTCCTGTGTTTCTTCAGATAACTCACCGATTGGTAATAATAAATGTGAATCTATAATTTTGCTCCCATGAAAAAAATTTGTGTACTAAAGCAAGCATGTAGTATAAAAAATAAAGTTTAATTTATAGTTCTGCAGTTTTAAAAGCATAAATAATTTTCAAATTTAACAGTATTTATCTTTTTCGTAAGCAAGTGTGCGTGTATTTTCTGCAGAATAATTCTAAATCTTCGAGTGAGGACTTCCTCAACACCAGTTATCCTTGAATCATGTTAAAGTTTCTGAAAAATCTTCTCGCCGTATTTCAGTCATTGGTGGATAATCCAGAACTTTTTTCTAAATTATCTACATATATAGACTTATTTGCTTTCAAAATTCCTCGAACATTCTTGGTTTCCTTCACATCGCCATTATTTATTATTTTCCAGCTCACCTACAAAAACTTAGCCGATAAGATATATGGCAATATACATTCCATAAATCAAATCCATGTATACAATGTTGAAAGACGTATTTAAAATTTTGAACAATTTCTTACTTATCTTTTAACTGAACACACACTGATATTTATGTATTATATGAATATTCCACTTTCGTCCTAGATACCTCCTCACACATAGAATATAAAGGGAAGGGAGGAAAGAAACGAGGAAAAGGAGGAGAATCACATCTCAAAATAATGAACGGATCGAAATAAATTAGATCAAAAAGTTCAAAGAATAAAAATTATAATTCTGAAGTCATAATATGTGATTTTTCACAAAAATAAAAAATAAAAAAATATTTTTAATTTAGAGGCATTTGTTATATTGAATGCGTTATTTTGAATTTTACAACTTTGGTTTTAGATTTGTAATTAACGACCTTGAAAACTTTTATGATTTTTATCAAAAATTAAACATTTTTTAATTTTGTATCCATTACTTAATTAGCTATTTTGAATTTTTTAATATTGCAACTATGTTCTTAATTGTTGTAATTAATTCACAATTAACGACCTTAAAAATATGTATTCACATGCAACTCCTGTATAAATCTATTCATATATAGTATTAGATTTATTTATATTAATAACATTTTTAGTGTTTATGACGATCATATTGGATTTATTATAATGTTGTAATTGTAATATTATATTAATAATTTGCCCCATTAAAAATAATTACATTTATACTTAACTTAATATAAATCAAATTAAAATTATAAATACTTTCTGTATTTTAGCCTCTATTTTATATCAACTATTTTGAAAAAAGCCTAACGAAAAAATCGATAATTTTTTCGAAATTGAATTAAGCTTTTATTTGAAAAAAAAAGAACATTAATATAAAATCAGTTAAGATTTCAAGGCTGTGGATAATTTCGAAACATAATTTCTCGTTTTTCCGCACTGTATAACTGTGCGAAATTCTCAATGTGTCAATCCTATGCGTGCGAGAAAGGAACGATAGATATAGGTTTAAGCGGACGAGACAAAGCGCGCGCTCTCGTCGCGACGGCATGGCGCTGAATTTAATAGCATCTTCGATGAACGCGACCGCCGCAAACACGAAGAGGCAGCGAAGAGAAAAACAGGAAGAAGATGCAGGCGCGAAGAACAAGGCACACCGACGATCTCGTCGTTACGAACTACATTGTTTCACGGTCGGCGCGTCGACTAGAGTGTATTAGAGAACGACACGTTTAAAAACGAAAGCTTGTATAAAAATCGAACGAAGCCTGGTCAACCGCTCAAAATTTCAGATAATAAAATAGAAAATTTAATACAATTTGAGATGTATATGTTATTTATTCAATACTTTTAAATTTCTTCCCTCTTAAGAGTATTAATTTATTAAAAATATTATTTAAGAATAAAAATTTATATACAAGGTGGAACACGAAATGTCATACCATATAATTTACGCACACACACACATATATATATATATCACATTTATTTTTAATAAAATTGATACATTGATATAAAATTAATTATATCAAAGCCCGAAAATTTGATAATTAAATGACATTTCATGCTTTATAGAATTTCCTGCCTTTTGATATTTCAGATTAATTTATATATTTGACATTATTTTAATATCATACATTTATTCATTTTGGAGATATCTTCTATCTGATACAAATAAAAAATTGCGATACTTCGTCGATGTCGATAGTTAATTAAGAGCTGTGGGAAAACAGCATCGGTTTTAGCGACACTGAAATTGCGATTCCGTTTCGCATCGCGCGAAGCTCGCCGTGGCGAGAATCATCATCGGGAGTTATGATTAAGACCCGACGTGGCGGCACGATCGAAGGGCACGATCGATCGAATGCATATATCCGAGCCGAGCGCGGAGAGTCGACGGTAACCGCTGAACGAATAGCTGAAAAGCCGAGATCTCAATTACGATGATCGCAATGAAATATCGCGAGTGAGATTTTTAAGAGCCGAGCGGTGCGGCGCGGCGATGCGCGCAAGATAAATTTGGGCCTTGCTTGGGGCGCGTTGCGCGCTTCGTCCGTGGCTGGACCGGTGGTATCCGTTTGATAGCAGATAGCAGGCCGAACGATGCTGGTATGTTCTCATTACGCGTCGTGTAGGTATGCGGCGGCCGGCCCGTGTTCTTCGTACTTCGAGGCCTGCGCGCTCCACGTCCACTCCTCGCATCATCCGTTGCGCTTACATTCACGTCGTTCTCTCTCTCTCTCCCTCTTTTTTTCTTCTTAGCTTTCTCTTTTTCGCTGGCGAGTCGTCGTACCGTGTCTACAAAGTAGAGTTTCATCGGGTTCCTTCCGCGACTTGTGACAAATGTAAAATGATAAAAAAAAAAAAGAAAAGAAGAAATTATGCGAGGAACGTAGATAATTATCCTAGGAACACCTCGTAATATCGACTTGCACGTCTTCCCGCTCGAAATTCCATAGTGATTCGACGGATTTCGGAGGAATCCTCACTTGAACTCTCGCTGTCTTTCTTGGTACCACTTCCATCTCTCGTTCTGTCTCCTAGCGAGATGGTGATCTCGATGACGTTGCTGCGGGCATCGCGCTGTTGCAGCCGCACAACGGCGAGCTAGTGATGATGATGGTGGTGGCCATGGTGGCGATGTGGTGGTGAGATGGTGGTGGTTGCAGCGATGGTAGTGGTGGTAAGATTGTGAGCTTGGTAGTGATGGAATGAATCGGCGAGGTAAGAGGAGAGGGAACTAGTTCAGTGAACAAAACGACGTGAGAGGCAGTTGCACGCTGTAACAACGCTTCAACGTCGTATTCGCGCTACGGATACTCGCATGAGCGCTCGGATGAGGGAAGAGAGCTTTAACCCTGATATTCCCTATACGTGCGACACACGTATAAAGAGCTCTTTTAATTTTATATTAGGCTGCTGGATACCTTCGAGCGAAGTTTAACGGGTTGCGGTGAAAGAACTCTCGCGACACGCATTGGATTATCGCTACCATGAGCTTCGGTTTATGCTTCGCAACCATGTTACGAACGTTGAAGACCATGTCTATTGTGCGCGCACGCATATTACGTTTTTGTATAACGCACTTTTTGCATCGCCTTTTTTTTTTACAATTTTTTTTACAATAGCTCGGCACTAAAACCGGTCAACTCCATTTTCTTTCATTTACTGCAGTATTAAGAAAAAACTATTCTACCAAATATATGCCAGCAAATATTTCACAAGAACCATTGAAATATAAAACTATTTTATTCGGAGCTGTCCGTTTCTTATACCAAAAGACGTTAAATGTTTGGTATGTTAAATTCAT